TGCCATGAAGGAGGAGATGAAGTCCATGAGAGACAATGACGTTTGGGATCTTGTCCCATTGCCAGAAGGTGTGAAGCCCATTGGTTGTAAATGGATATTTAAAACCAAAAGGGATTCAAAAGGCAATGTGGAGAGATATAAGGCTCGTCTTGTCGCAAAGGGCTTTACACAGAAAGAAGGCATTGACTATAAAGAGACTTTCTCTCCAGTTTCTTCGAAAGACTCTTTTTAGATTATAATGGCATTGGTGGCGCATTTCAATCTTGAGTTGCATCAGATGGATGTAAAGATAGCGTTTCTCAATGGTAACATTGATGAAGCAATATATATGGTGCAGCCAGAAAACTTTGTATCTGGAGATCTAAAGAGTATGGTTTGCAAACTTAAGAAATCCATCTATGGGCTCAAGCAAGCATCTCGACAATGGTATTTTAAGTTTCATCAAGTGATCGTCTCATTTGGCTTTGAGATGAATATGGTTGATGAATGTATATACTATAAGTTCTGTGGGAGCAAGTACATTTTTCTGGTTTTGTATGTTGATGATATCTTGCTTGCCAGCAACGATATAGGCTTATTGCACGAAACCAAGAGATTTCTGTCTAATAACTTTGAGATGAAAGATCTTGGTGACGCCTCTTTTGTATTAGGTATACAAATACACCGGGATCGCTCTCGGGGTATTCTTGGATTATCACAAAAGAGCTATATCGAAAAGTTTCTCAAAAGGTATGGCATGCAAGATTGTAAACTAGGTGATACCCCTGTATCTAAAGGAGACAAGTTTTGTCTCAATTAGTGCCCTAAGAATGATTTTGAAAGAAAGGAAATGGAGAAGATTCCTTATGCATCTGTAATAGGGAGTCTGATGTATGCTCAGGTTTGTACGCGTCCGGATATTGTGTACATTACTGGAATGTTGGGCAGATATTTAAGCAATCCAGGAGTAGACCATTGGAAAGCAACCAAACGGGTCTTGCGATACTTACAAAAAACAAAAGGATACATGCTCACATATCGGAGGTTGGATCAGCTTGAGATCATTGGTTATACTGACTCCGATTTTGCTGGATGCCAAGATAGTTTGAAGTCTACATCAGGCTATGTCTATCTGTTAGCCGGAGGTGCCATCTCATGGAAGAGTGCCAAACAGTCCATAACGGCCTCTTCAACTATGGCAGCAGAATTCATAGCATGTTATGAAGCATCCAATCATGGAATATGGCTGCGAAATTTTGTCACGGGACTACGGATAGTGGATAGCATTGAAAGACCACTCAAGTTATTATGTGACAATAAATCAGCAGTTTTATATTCTAACAACAACAGAGGCTCGTCGAAGTCAAAGCATATAGACATCAAGTTTCTTGTTGTTAAAGAAAGAATTCAGAGTGGACAGTTGTCTATAGAACATATTGGTACAAACTCCATGCTTGCGGATCCGCTTACTAAGGGATTGCCACCCAAGGTGTTCCATGAGCATACTGCTCGTATGGGTGTTATGTTTATTGAGGATATTCAGTCTTAGTGGGAGTTTGTAATTTAAATGTTCTTAATATAGACATTTTCAGTTATTTCAGTATATCGATTTTTGAGTTATTTTCTGCAGAAATATCAGGATTTATTCACACTCTGATTTTGGTAAAGTCTGATCTCACTAAGGTTTAAGGTGGACCAGTTGGAAATAGGCATGTTAATATCACATTTCATGAAATTTCCATGCTACACATCCACATCATAATCCATGTCATTCAGTTGTATCAATTTTGTGACCATTGATGGGTTGAGTTACGATAGACGTGACAAAAGCCGCTTTGATCCTATATTGATATAATTGATGGACCGGATTGGTTAGAGATACATTTCGGTAATGACAGTAAAGTTGAGCTCAAACAGTTGTTATTGCAAAGCATAATTATAAGGATACACATATAATCCAAGTGGGAGATTGTTGGATCCTTAATCCACCGTTGGGTTATATGTGAAATAATAATGCAATGCATACTGTCATATAAAGTTAAGCCCTTTAAAAGTGATAAATTAAGTTAAGGTAATTTAGGGCTTTAATGTATCAAATAGGGTGTGGCCCTTTAATGTGTAGAGATTAAAAGGGGAAATTACAATTTTATGATGGGCAAAATTGTAATTTCTAAAGGGTAACATTAGGGTTACCTTATAAGAGCGGTTATGGTCCCCAGAACGTACGGAAGTTACTGATTCCTCTTCATCCCATCGAAAGAGAGAAACACAAAGAGAATTCAAAGGGAACTCTTAGAGAAAACGTATTGTTCTGGAAGGCTACCCGCACGACACCGAACAACAGTCTACGCTATGGATTCAGGTACGCTTCCGTGTTTATGCTTTCTCAATGAATTATACATGTATGATCCTGTTTCGTTGATGGTTTTAAATCGTTCATCGGTTTTCGGAATCTAACATAAAATTCCAGGTAGAGGAGTCTAGGCACCTGTAATTCGCGGCGTGAGAAATTTGTGCATCAACAAAAGGATACTTGTAGTCTCATCATGTTGCAAATTTTCTTCAGAGAGAAATTTTCCTTGTTTTCTCGTAATTTTTGCTGACTTGTCTTCACTTTGGTATCTAATATTTTCTCGTAACTTTCCTTGTTTGTTTTTCTTCTTTCTGGTCCCATGCAAACTCGTGTACTCGTTAGCGGTCCCTATAAGAGAATAGTTGTTGATGTAGACTTCGTTTCTAACAACTGGCAACTTCCACGGCCCCAAATAATGTGGATTTCGGATCATGCATTTTCGGGACCATTTCTTTTCTTTTTTTTTTGGCAAGTGGTATCAATATTTCTACATTTTAGATGCAGATCCGTCAAATGGTTGCAATGAAATAGGTCGGTAGGTTGGGCCTAGTGGACCTTCTTCTAGCGTTGTACATTTCGGGACTAAACAAACCCTCCCTGTTTTGGGCGGAGGAAACTTCCTTCAATCATGTCTCTGATTAATTCATTATAAATACGTGCATACTTATAACCCTCTCATCAAAAGACCAATTGGATGATTCTCAAATCTTTGATACAAGAAAAGGTGATCCGCAATAATTTTGGACATGTTGCTTTGTGAAGGTATGTCATAAGACGAGATCTAGCTATAGCCACATCACCACATCGCTTGCGAAGTATCACACAAAATGATTTATATACATTTAATATATATGTGTGTGTTAAGCGGCACAATCTTAAACCGTTTTCCATGTGAAATTTCTTGTTACTCAACTTTCATGATTGAGACGGTTGAAAAAGAATTTCGCTATTAGCCTAAAATTGCCTATTTGACATGGCACATATCATGGTGATCTCCATAATGAAACATCAATCACAAAGATCTAGATTGTTGATTCTCTCGTTAAGACAATTTTCTTATAGCAAGAGCACCAGCTTTTCATACAAATAAAGTTGCATCACCCATTTTCACAACCAAAAATATCACGGAAATATCACGGAAAGACTGTATCAAACAATCTCGAAGAAAAGTAAAAAGAATTCAAATACATAAAAAAGAAATAATATTCAAAGATTTAATCCACTTCTAATACTCCGTTTGTTTCGCATAAAATATTTTCTAGGAAAATATTTTTCTCATTTTTCGGTATTTGGGTCGCTTAGGAAAATAAGTTAACGAAAAATATTTTCCTAGTCAACGGAAAACTATACTTAAATTAATAAAAATGATTTTCTCTTTATAAAATATGACTAAATATCGATTATTGGATCAGAAAATTTGTGCTTGGGCATGAAAATCTTAAGGCTCGTTCCTGGGTCCCCGAAGCCAGTGCTAGGATCCAACGAGGCTGGGCCCTGAGGCTTCGATGCTTGTGCCTGATGTCTCGGCATTCAAGAGTCACTTTTTGTAACTATGTTTTATTAACTTTTTAAAATTCCACGAAACCCTATCGAACAACTTCTGATTTCTCTTTACCCACGTCATCTCTCCCTCATTTTCAATCGATGATAGTGGAGAAACTGGGGGCTCAACCTATTCACGTCCCCATAAAGCGGGGGAGACAAGTCTTGAGCGTCGATAAGATGTGAACCCCAGAAAAAATTGATGGGAGTTGACTGAGGCAGACCGTATGGGGGCCCATCGATTTGGATGATTATGTGAACGTGTGAGGTTCACACAAGGAAGTCGATCATATTATTGAGTATGTCTCCAGTTTTCACGATCATCTAGAGTGAAAATCGAAGGCATGGACGATGGGAGGACATGAGAAGATGACCCGAGTGTCCAAGCTTGTATTGGCTAGAACATGCCCCGGACGCAGACTCGATTCGGACATGTTTTAACCTTATCGTAGAGATATTATACAACATAGATTTTTCAGAGTGTGTTTCTAGGGTTTCTCTTTGAGAGTTGTGCGAGGATAACACTTGAGAGATTGAATGGTACACTGGGTGGTGTATAACATGGAGGCTTGGGTTAGAGACAGCCCGAGATATCTCAGAACTATTCTTATCAATTTGGGGCTTTTGTGCTTGGCTGATTGACTGGAGAAATTGAAGTGCAATTCGATTGTGGTTTTTGAGCTAGCCTTTGATTCTAGAACAAATTTGGGGCTTTTGTGATAGCTTTTCTAAAATTGTATTGAGTGTTTCCTTGTTTAATACGTCTATATTTCTCTATCATTGTATTAACTTTTGCTTCAATAATTGGGCTTTGTCCCCAACACAGGGCCAGTTGTATGGGCCTCAAGTTTTCAGGCTTGAATCACCAATAGACGATACGACCCAACACGCTAATAGTTGTAATAATGGAGAAGATATTTTATATAGGAGACATATCATATGATAACGACATGTGAAGAAATAGATGAATCAGACATAAGATAATAAATCACTGAATTTGATGGAATCCCGTTGCGCGATCCACATTCCGAAGCATAAATTTCAAAAAAGTTTCAACATTTGGAAAAAACAAAAAGAGAGAAAAACTCTCGTACTCATAAAGTCTAAACCGGAACCAACTCGGCTCGCAAAGAGTTACTACTAAGCAGTGATTTACAAAATGATAGTGATAAATTTTCAACATATGTTTATAAGAACAGCTTATTCAAAATACCTTATCAAATTTCCGAGAAAAATACCTAATTAAATTTGTCACGTAAATCTGAAATTGATTTCATGCATCGATGTTCACTTCAGCCATGTCGTTGCTGCTCTTACACTTTATTCTCAATCTGAGTTTTCTTTCCAAGCGGACGTCTCTTGATAGGAATCGAATACGCGTCGTGGTGATGCAGAATCATCACAAGGACCACCGACGAAGCGAACATCGGGACTGGGCCGAAAAACCAGAGCAGCAAACTCAGGGCGAAGTAGAGCGACCGGTGCCCGAGCGACCAGAACTCGCCCCCTCGTATGACCACCACCTTGACGTCCTCGGGGTCGATGAGGGACCTTGGCGTCATGGGCGTTGTGATCAGGTAGCTCGCGTGGACGTGGTGCCGTGCCGACTGGAGGAAGCAAGCGAAGGACACCAGGAAACAGAGGATGAGGCAGAGGTGCTTGATCGCCGCCGTGGACGGCTTCGGGTCGCTGAAGAGGAGGACCGAGTCGAAGATGTTTGAGGAGGAGGGCGAGTTGGCGATCCACGCGCCGAGGAGAGAGCAGAGGGTCAGGCACACTGAGGCGAAGAAGGTTGCCGCCGATACGTTTGATGTGACGACGCTCACTCCGACCGATTTTTCGTCCACATTTCCCTGTTGACACAAATTAACGAGAACTACAATTTAAAGTACGACTTTGGTGCTCAGAAACAAGTCATTAACCCGATCAAAAAGAAAATTTGCTGTCCATACTATAAGGCTTAGAACTTCTTGAAAGTAAACGTGCATATATACCTGCAAGATTGCTTCAACCCAAGCCCTTTTGTCGTCGTTTTCGACGCCCATCACCGTCGTTTTGGGGAAGCGAAGGTATCTGTACAGGAAGAAGAGATTGTAAGCGAACATGAGCAGCAACCCACTTGGTACAAGCACCAAATCGAGGTCATCCTGAGGAAAAGCCATCGATCTCTCTCTGTCTCTCTGCCCAAAAAGCTGACTACAATGGAGGAATTCGTGTGCTTTAATGGAGGAGGAGGCAAGTTCTCTCCTATCCCCATGTGAGTTCTCACTTGAAGATCAAGCTTCTTAATTCGTATAGAATTGAGTTTGTTTCTCTAGAAAGATATTGACTTGAAAGAGTTTGCACCCAAAGTTGAAGTAATTGGTTGACAGCATGCGTGTATGTTACATTATATCATGTGTCGGACACATCTTATGGTGAAGTTCGATTCCCTCCTACTATCTTTTGTCTACTTAGATTAAGTAAATGTGTTCTTGCTGGCATTGTTGCATTTTTAATTGTTGTTCTAGAGGTTTAGCACGAGTTAGATGTTTGGTAAGTGTCACGTGAACCAAACTTAATGGGTCAAAAGGACTTAAATTGCAACTACGCCAAGTATATAAACAGAGGAGGAACTTGAGACTCTGTACGAGAACTTTTCTTTAGAAAAAATTATCAAAAAACCATCCTCATCTTTCTCTTAAATTTTCATTTTGCATCATCTACTTCCAAGATTCTTATTCTTATATCCTGGAATTTGTTGTTAAACTACACCCTATTCGTGGAAATTGGCCTTTCTCCCTAAGAATACACTGCTTTTTCATGTTCTAGCTCTCAGTAAAAGACTCTTTAAGAACCCTAATTCTAATCTCTCTCTCTCTCTTTCTATTCATAGGAGGAGCCACCATCGTCCTTAGCCCTATTGGTCGACCATCACCAATGTCGTCACACGCGACGATCTCATCTCCAGTTTCCTCTCCCTTTCTATTTTCCTCTTGAAAAGCAGTGATTCACTTCATATTGATCTTGACATTGTACGGTCGACAATTGTGACAAATAAGAATTATACGGAAGATATAGATTTGAAATTTCTATATATTTCGATAAGCCTATTTATAGGCTTTATTAGATACGAAATTTTTGTATATTCAAATAATACTTGATGAGGGAAACTTTTCTAAAAAGTCCTAAACTGATTGGTTATTTGTTCCGGTCAATCAAAAGTAAGTTCTTTTTCTTCTAAGACTTCAATTTCCCCTTTCTGAGGTCACATGAATTAGTCAATAACTTGTTGCTAAGGATCCCCCTTATTTTAAATGACAATTGATTTGTATAATCATACTAGAAGCTCTCCATGATCTCATCACTTCTGGTCTGGTAATAGGTCCATTTTCAATAATAATTTTATTCACGTGGTTACCTCGAGAGACTAAATAATCTTTTGCATACATGAATATAATATATGCTCAGGTCAGCATGACTTTTTTATACCGTACACTCAGGGTTTAATGCTTTCCTTGCACAAAACAACCTAGAGATTAGACAAAATATAGAGAGAAATGAAAAACAAAAGCTAAGAGGTTAAAAGGTCAGTCAACTGGCCTCTCTTGCAAACAAAAAGCCATGTCTATGAACTTATGCCAACGGCTTCTCCACAGAACCAGGAATTTCTTCTCCCTCTGTTATCACAACCGAGTCATGCCCGAGTCATGGACCCCCGTTCACTACAGAACCATGCATCATCTCAGCCACTCTCCTGAAGCCAAAGAGATGTTCCAAGCTCAATCCCACCTCTACAACCACACCTTCAACTTCATCTCTTCCATGTCTCTCAAATGCGCGGTCCAACTCCAAATCCCCGACGTCATTCACGACCATGAGCGACCCATGACCCTCCTCGAGCTGGCCTCGGCGCTCCGAATCCACCCGTCCAAATCGACATGTCTTTACCGCCTCATGCGGGTTTTGGTTCACTCGGGCTTTTTCGCAGAGACCCTAGTTTTGAAGAAAGGAGAAGAAGACGAAGAAGAAGAAATTAAGGCTTATGTCTTGACTCCTTCGCGTTTGCTACTGAGCGATAAGGTCGTGGGGCTCTCTCCATTCGTCGTGGCCATGCTCGATCCAGCTCTTGTGACTCCTTGGCATTTTCTTGGAGATTGGCTCCAAGGAAATAACGATAACGATCGCAGAGACAAATTAATCAATCCTTTTGAGGCTGCGCATGGAGTCAATCTATGGGACTATGGGAGGAAGAATCCTGAATTTGGGAATACATTTAATAGAGCAATGGCCAGTGATTCTCAGATGATGAATTTGGTAATTAAGGATTGCAAAGAGATATTTGAAGGGTTGAATTCTTTGGTGGATGTCGGAGGCAGCACGGGAATCGTGGCGAGAATAATCTCCGAGGCGTGTCCGGGGTTGAAGTGCACGGTGCTCGATCTCCCGCATGTGGTCGTCGGCTTGCCGGACAGTGAGAATGTGGAGTTTGTTGGTGGTGATATGTTTGAGTCCATTCCTTCTACAGATGCTGTTTTACTCAGGGTATGCAATATAGCATTTCCCAGTTGACAATTGGCTGTGGATCTTAATTTGCGGATTAAGGCACCGTTCGTTTCACGGAAAAGAACTTTGAGGAAAATGTTTTTCGAATTTTCCAGCACTCGGTTCACGGAAAAACTAGTCTAAGGAAACATTTTCCACAGATGTAGAAAATACCTTCAAAAGTGAGGAAAATGTTTTCCGTTTTTCAGAAAGTAGAAAACATTTTCCATATCTTCTTTCACCTCGCTTTCTTTCACCAAACACAGTTTACTTTTATTTTTATTTTTTTTAAAATAACTTTTGGATTTTAAATTTTTTTTCTTTTCTTTTCCTTTTCTTCTTCCTCGGCCGGTGGCCGGCCATGGGGACGGCCGGCGACCTGCTACAGGCGAGGTTCGGCCTTGCTAGCCCAAGGCCAGTCTCGAGCGAGGCCGAGCCTTGCTAGATCTAGTGAGGCAAGGTTGACGAGGTGAGGCTTGAGCTCGCAGGCCTTGGGTGAGTGAGGCCGAGCCTCGCCGGTTGGCGACCGGCAAAGAAAGAAAAAAAAATAAAAAAACAGAAAAAAAAATATTAAAATTTTTAAAAAAAATTCAATTTAAAAATTCAATTTTTTTAAAAAAAATAAAAAATTTATTAAAAGGAGTGCAGTGAGGATTTTCCATATCAAAAGACAGAAAATATTTTCCAATTTATTTTCAGTTCTCAACTGAACATCAGAAAATATTGTCATTTTTCTGGAAAATGACTTTTCAAAAAATATTTTTTAGAAACGTCACATTTTTCGCGAAATGAACGGAGTGTAAGTCGATCGCTTTTGATTGCCTAACATAGAAAATTATTGCCTGCTAGATTCAATTCACTGTCGACTGAGTGAATCTGGATTGTTAACGTTGTGATGAGTCTCACATGGATCCATATTAATCCAATGGCTTGGAAGGGGAACTTTTTAACGTTAGTCAACAAATTTGATGTGGCATTCATGAACTCCTGACTTTTTGTTAGCCGAATTCATGGACTAAAATTTAAAATATCTGTTGCATCATTTACCGGTCGTAGATGATGTCATGTACAAGCTTGGAGCGAAGGGATTGTGCGAAACGGAGTGCCAGGATTCAAACGTGTGACATGCAATCTACATACCATATCAAACAAAACATTTTGCTCAAAAGTTTAAGGCCACAAGAAGTATTCACAGCATACTTTAGATAGATAAATTTACATTGGAAAACTTCACTGTCGACCGAGACATTCATGTACTTTCGAGATTCCAGAGCGAATTTTCCAATGTTGGTAAAAAACTCTGGTGTCACATTGACGAACTTCTCACTTCGTATATATTAGCTGAATTGTACATCTTCAAACAGAAGTGGGTCAAGATTTTAAAGTCTTCTTCTATTGCATATGTTCTACTAATTGGATGCATTATTCGTTGGTCACAGTGGATGTTGCACGCTTGGAGCGACGAGAACTGTGTGAAGGTGCTGAGAAAATGCAAAGAAGCAATTGGTGACAGAAACAACGAGCAAGCAAAGGTGATAATAATAGACATTGTGATAAGTGAGACCGAGGACGATGCTCAAGAAGAAACTGCGACAAAGCTCTTCTTCGATGTATTGATGATGACCTCGGTCACAGGAAGAGAGAGAACCGAGAAAGAGTGGGAAAAACTTTTCTTGGAGGCCGGTTTCAGACAATACAAGATAACTCCTATGTTTGGTTTGAGGTCTCTAATTGAAGTTTTTCCTTAGGTAGTGCGTGTCATTTTGATTCAAATAAAGCAGATATGTTGTCTCCAATTATTGATCTATATGCTGCCTCCATCACGGGATGTTGACATCTATCCATTCAATTATGGTTCTCGCCACATCTAATTCAAAGCCCACATACCCTAACACATAAGCAAATATCTTTTCTCTCTCTCCTCCTCCCCCGGCCGCCCCATTCCCGCTCGTCTTGCCTACCCCGTTGTCACCATAATCGAGGTCACCGCCATCATTGCATTCGGGTCCAACCACCACTGCTAGTAAGGCCAAACCATTGAGTCATCATCTCGTGCTTGAAGGCAGCATACAGGATTAGAGTGAAAGACGACAGATCTGCCTCCTAATACAAGTTAGTATCTGGCTCTTATTTTAATTAAGTAGGATGCGTATGTACTAATAAGTTTTACGAGACCTTATTTAACATTTAACGTGGCATATGGTTATGGGTGAATTAAATGAATCCATCCGCTTTACCTCTGGCATTTTCTTTTAAATAGCCTCAACTAAACTCAACTTGAGCCCTACTTGTCTCTATCACCACCAGTTGTCGCTGCGCACATATACCTTATTTGCAAGATGGAAGACCTGTTGATATGATGCTGCTGCCATCATCATTAAAAAGTGTCCATTTCCTCTCTCCTCCTCTAGTTCTCCGTCTTTAGTGCGCATCTCTCTCTCGATCTGTCTTTGATCTCTCGAGCTGCCAATGCTGAGGACAGTAGCAATGACCTCAAATTCAAGATCGCCATGGCACCGTGACCTCAATCCAAGGTTGCCGAGCAGCACGGCCTCGGATAGTGGTTGTCCATGGTGGCTCAACCTAAGATCAAGGTCGCTGCTAAGTGGGGACCTTGACACATGGTTGCTGATCTTGTGGTCATTGAGCATCGCAGGTCGCGAAACATAGAGGAGACACAGAGTGAAGGGGTGATAGCCAGGACTGATTCAAAGGGCAATGCTGAAGCTACAGTCGCGGTGGCCGTAGGCAAACGGAGACGAGCTGCAAAGGAAGGATGGCAACCGACAATAATTAGGCGCGACGGAGCACGGCGACAGTAGATGGTGAGGATGTCAGGTTAATGGGTGATTACATTTTGGTTTGAGGGGAACTTGGGGGCTTAGTTTTTTGTTGGGGTTAATCTGGTGTTTTTATGACGAGGTGTTGTTTAGAGGGATGGGGAACATATATTTGAAAATAGAAGTATGAAAAATGGTTCTTGAGGTGAAAAGTAAGATACTTTGTCGGCATTTTCTAAATTAACTTTAAAAAATGTCTATGTAAAACAGTAATGTTAGGATATTAAGATGAAGTTTCAAAGGTCTAGAGTAAGGTGACAAAAGGTGCATTTGACCGGTTGAACCAGCGAAGCATTTGTACTAACATAAATTTGACATAACTTTATTCTCGATTTAATGCCGAACATAAACCGTACCCTAGGCTGTCGTCGTGGCTCGGTTGTCCAACGTTCATCGTCCCCCCGCCCACTCGATACTGCTGTCATCACTCCCTCTTTGCTTTTTTTTTTTACGAGCAACGGTTGGATTCGCTCAATGGGCTGCCATACTGCGAATCGCTGGCAAATCGAAGGACGCATGTTTCACCGGAATTGTTCCCGTAATAAAATATATTTTACCGAAAGTCATTCTTTGGCTTTTAGATAAGGAGACCAAGGTTCTGCTTCAATTGCGGACAGAAAATATCACAGGCACAAGCGAAAGGAATCAACACCTTTGAATTCAAATTGAATCGCATAGATTGAAACCGTATCGAAATTTAATGGACAACAAGTTTTGGAAAGTACAAACTAGATAAAGTAACCATATATAACCAGATTCTACTAAAATTTAATCGACGACACAACCCGAAAATGTAAAGACACTACGCCGGAATTTAATCGACGGCGCAGCACTCGGGATAGAAATATAAGCCAAAATTCAATCGACGACGCGAATCGAAAACGACATCTAAGGAAATTTAAAGTACAGTGCAGGAAAGTTAAAGATAATTGAAAGATAATATTGTGTTTGATTTGTACAGGGGGGATTTCTAATGAACAATTGGCGGTATTTATAATGGTTATGAAGTAACCGTCTTCTGACAGTTTTCACTGATTGCATTCTCCTGAGTAACTCCGACGATCACCTCCATGTTTCTATATCTCCACAAGTCTCACACCCATGTTCGCAAATGGTTGCTATTCCCGTATGTGAGCTGCTCCATGATCCACTTTTCTTCTAACGATGATTGTCCCACGATCCTGTTTTCAAATGATAACTACTCCCTCCAAAAAACTGTGCGCCTTGACCTCAACTCTCTTGTTGATTTCAAGTTTCAAATCATTCATCACTGATTCTCAAAGTAGTGGCTACCAACCATCCGTCATCGTATTTCGATAGCTAGATACATGGCATTGATGATTACCACATATCAATTTCTGTGTTAGTCGATAAGCTGGCATGCCATGCATGTGTTTGTTCTCACTCACGCGCTAGGCATGTACTTATCGATGATTAGATTATTTTGATGTCAACATATGCCCCGATTTTAAAATAATTAAAATAATTTTTAATTCTTTTATAATCGTACATCGATCACACGCGTTTTTCCTCTATAGGTAATCTTGACATGTGTGTTGTCTTCCTGATGCTTCGTACTCTGCGCGCAACTAGCCAGCTCATGATACCCTGTAACATTTCGACACTTTACCCTAATCTTCTATGATCTGCAAATTTTAGTCATTAAGGATTTTTTTTTTCGAATTATCATCCTCCGGATTTCTGTTTATCTTGGGAAAACATATATATGTAGAAAGATTTGATTTTTACGTTTTCCTCATCTCCCTCTTTAATCCCTAGTCTTCTCTTTTGGTCTAAGACCCTTGGTTTCCTCTCTGTTCCTTGCTCCTCATGGCTCCCAAACCTCGTCTCTACTCTTTTTTTTTGGGTAAGGAACTCGTCTCTACTCTTCAGCGGATCATATCGCTAATTTTGACGGCATAAAGAGAGATGAGCACTCCGATAATTTGCTGTTTTCGTCTTTTGAACCTGATTGAAAAATACCCTGAGCGTCTTGTCCTTGGTCCTTGTTTCCAAAGTCATCTTCGAATTGTAGCCTCTCTTAGACCCTGTTTTCCTCAACAGCGTGGGGAACCGCTTTCTATAGAGAGGTCTTCTATCATGGATCTCTGGATTACCAACCTCTCTCATTTCTGCAACTTCTCATCTTCCGAAGCAGATTTTCACAGATTGTACTTACGGATGAGAGACGACCTTTGATGACGCAATCAAGTACATAATAGGGGGAGGAACTTGAGACTCTTCACGAAACTTTTATTTAGAAAAAATATCGAAAATCATCCTCATCTTTCACTTAAATTTTTTTGCATCATTTGATTCCAAAATTCTTATTTTTTATATCCTGGAATGTGTTATTAGACTAGGGGTGAGCATGGTTCGGGTGGGTGGTTCCCATCCTAGAACCGAGAACTGCCCATTGGAGACCAGTTTCGAAAAATTGGAACTGGGAACTGCCCGTTGGTTCTATGGATCCACCCGGGAACCGGACCGCCGGTCTGGTCCGGTTTCCGGATGGGTCCATGGAACCGGTCCCACAAGCCAAGGACGGAGACGGAGAGTAGGAGACGGTGAGGTGAGCATCGACTGAGAAGAGTGAGAGAGTGAGAGTGAGCATGAGGCGAAAGCGAAAGAAAGTGTTTCTCAGCTTAGTGTGAGGCTATGAGCGTCAAGGGAGTTAGGTTTAGTTTAGGGATTTAGGATTTTTTTTAAATTAAAAATCAAATAAATATAATATAATATATTATATATTATTATTATATTACCGGTCCGGTCGGGGTGGGCGAGTGGACGGTTCCAGTCCGGTTCCGGGCGGTCCAGGATGGTCCGAGCGGTTCCCAATTCTTTTGCACATTCCTATATTAGACTACAAATTACACCTAATTCACCGCAATTGGCATTTCTCCCTATGAATATACTGCCTTTTCATGTTCTAGCTCTCAGTAAAAGACTTTAAGAGCCCTAATCCTAGTCTCTCTTTCGTGTTCTATTCATAGGAGGAGCTACCGTGGTCCTAGCCCTATTGTCAACCATCACCATCGTTGTCGCGTTGGGCGACAGTCTCATTTCCAGTCCCCTCTCCCTTTTTCTTTTCCTCTTGAAAAGCAGTGGTTCACTTCATATTGATATCGATATTGAAAGGTTGACAATTGTGATCGACCCAAATCCAAGATCGAAGACGATCGTCACCTCAAATCCAAGGTCGAAGAAGACCGATCTACAAGGAACATGGTACCCTAGCAAAAATGAAAGAGAGTTGTTTATCTAACCTCTCAAGTTGTGTCTATTTCACATTGTGGCGGTACTCGAACATTTCCTTTCTCGTTGTCACGCTCCCTTTTCTGTCAGAAAGAGAGTTGTTTCATGTTGTTAAAGTAATACTTGACGAGTACAAAGATGGCCCAATCTGTAGCGAGTTTATTTTAACGCTGGGCTTGGGCCGATCAATCTGCGGCCCGATTCGTTTCTCCCGGACTGAATGTGAGGGTCCAAATGGAGAATTCAGCCGAAAGCGACTGATGCTGAAGCACCATCTAGCTGGCTTCCCAAGGTGGCTCTGCTCCGTCAGTTTTAAAGTCAAAACTCAACTCTCGTTTAGTTGTTCTCCTGAATAGCATCAGTCATAGCATATCTAAGGCTAGGGTTTCCACCTCCAAAGTTCGTGTTTGATGGTTCTGCTCCGCCAAACACAAACAGTCTGAGCGCCTCCATCGATGACGATTACTTGGTGGTCTCTACAGATAACTGAAATGGCTGCGGCGAGTTCTCTTTTTATAGAGCCATCAAGATTAAATTTTGCAGTACCCCGAGGTGGGGGTTTTCCCAACGGGCTATTCCATGGTGATGTCTTCTCATCTGCAAGTACAGAACTAGGTTCATGTTGATGAAGGTTTGCTGGAAGGAAAGGCGTTGTGTCGACTGTTTGTCTGTGGATCTGGGTGTAATGAGCGAAAGACAAAGCTGTTCCTCTGCTTCCATATGTGCCAAAGTA